TTGATCTCTTCAAAGTTCTGAGGGAGAAATGTTAATTTGCCAGAAAGACAAAGCTGGAAACTGGACTCTCTCATTTAGTCAATTTAATTTCCTTCCTCTAGTATTACATGCTCCCTGTTTCTCTACAGCTGAGCTCCCTGTCCACTTCTTCTTACTTTTATTTTTAATTAATTAATTAATTAATTAATTTATTTTTGGCTGTGTTGGGTCTTCATTGCTGTGTGCGGGCTTTCTCTAGTCGTGGCGAGCAGGGGCCACTCTTTGTTGTGGTGTGTGGGCTTCTCATTGCCGTGGCTTCTCTTGTTGTGCAGCACGGGCTCTAGGTGCACGGGCTTCAGTAGTTGTGGCTCATGGGCTCTAGAGCGCAGGCTCAGTAGTTGTGGCTCACGGGCTTAGTTGCTCCGCAGCATGTGGAATCTTCCCAGACTGGGGCACGAACCCGTGTCCCCTGCATCGGCAGGTGGACTCTCAACCACTGCGCCACCAAGGAAGCCCAATATTCTGTCTTTTTAAAATTGATGTTTATCTATCTGTAGCAAAAGACTTAAAAATTACTTAACCCAAAATTAAGTGCTTATCTATGGATGGTAAGGTTGTTTTCCTTTTTGTCGTTTTCTGCATTTTCCATTTTTTCTCTAACAAACATGTATTATTTTTGTAATCAGAAAAAAAATTAAGATAACTATGCAAGGAAGCACAGCATCTCTCTTAACTGGCTTCCAAGCCTTTAGTTTTCCCCTGCATATCTTGCTTCTTACAACCCCATCTTGCTTTCCTAGGTCTACCAAATAAGACTACAGCCCTGCCTGACACACAGGAGGCTTCACAATCTGGCTTCAGCCTGCCTCCACTTCATTGCTGCCCTTCCCTCTCCACAGAATTTCTCATGAACCTGGAGTGTGGTGTATTCTTTGATGTTCACTCTTTGAGTTGTTCAGGACAAAAATTCTTTTAGAATCACCTTCAACTCCTGACTGCAGTATATTAGCAAAGCCACCGCCTTCCTCACCACCTCCACTGCTGCCATGCCCACCAGCTGGGGTGTTGCGACAGCCTCTCAGCTGCCTTCCTGCTTCCGTTCTTGCCCCTACCACTGTGTGTCCTCCACACGGCAGCCAGAGTTTTCCTTTTAAAATGTCAGTTGGTTCATGTCATTCTTCTGGTGAAAACCCTCCAGAAGCTCGCCACCTCACTCAGTAGAAGACAAAGTTATTACAGGGGCCTAAGAACCTTATGTAAGCCCCTGGGACCTGGTCCTCCCTCCTCTCCCACCTCATCACCTCTCCCCACAGTTTCATTCCATACACTGGCTTCTTACTGTTCCTCCGTCATGCCACAAGCATGCTGCCTCAGATGACTGTATTTGCTGTTCCCTTTCTCTGGAATGCTGTTCCCTTAGGTCTCTGCTCAAGTGTCACTTTATCAGGGAAGCCTTACCTGATCACCATGTCTAAAATAGTACACTTACCCTCAATCCATTTCTCCTCCCTCTCTTCCATTTTGTTTTCTTCATGGTGCTTAGCACCACCTGATGTTGTATATGTATATTTGTTTGCTATCTGTCTCCTTCCACCAGAATGTAAGCTGCTCAAGAGCAGGGACGTGTTCTGCTCATCTTTTGTATGATTCCCATTCCCACACCAGCCCTTCCTGTCTCCTTTGAGATCTTGTTCTGTTGATCCCCTCTGTTTCCTAAGGTTTCATCTTCCTTCTCTGTTGGATAGTTTCTTGTTGTCAGTAAGCATTTTCAACTCTTTCTCCTCATTGAAAATAAACACAAACAACCTGCCTTCAATTCTATATCTAATTACCGAGGCAATTAGTTTCTTCCCTTCCTTGCAAGTTTCTTGAGTTTATGTGCATGTATCCCCTCCCTGTCTGTCTGGCCTCTCCCTTGGTACTCTGCAATAAGGCTTCCTTCACCAGTGTGCCAGCGAAACTGCTCTGGCAAAGATCTCTAATAATGTTCTGATTGTAAGAAATAAGTAAGCATTTTTTGCTCCTTTTCGTACTTTACTTTTTATAGCATTGTACTATACTGATTATTCTTCTTTTCGCACCCCTTGTAACTCTCTTTTCAGCCTTCCTGAAGTTTTCCTTTTCTTGTTCCTCATCCTTATCGATTGTCCTTACTGGTTCCTTCTCTGCCCCTTACATACGAGTGTCCCATAAAGGCTCCGTCCTTAGCTCTCTTCTTGCTTGCTCTGATTCCCCCTCATCCTGTGACTGCATCTATCCCATGCTTTTAACTACTGTTTTTGCACTGATAACTCCCAGATCTGTGTCTTTCGCCCAGAGTTTTCTCTTGAGCTTCAGGCTTGTTATTTCCATCTGTCTCCTGGACATGTCGCACTTGAAATCCAGTGCCACACATGAAAAAGTATACACACTATTAACCCTCTCCACCACTCCCCACCTTGGTCAGTGACCCATCTGCTCATTTAAGGTGAACTCGTGGGAGTAGCTCTCAGCTGCTTCCTCTGCTATAACACTGTCGTATCTGAGGGCCCCAACTTCTCTCTCATAAGCTCTTTTGAATCCATTCCCTTGTCTCGGTTCTCACTGCCCCTTGTCATAGTTTAGATCTTCATCCCTTTCTACTTTATAGCATGGTCCTTAAAGTTTGTCCTCTGAAGCCAGACTGCATGGGTTCTCATTTTGGATCTATCACTTATTAGTTGTGTGACTTTAGTCAAGTTTTATAACTTCTCTGTGCCTCAGTTTCCTCATTGGTAAGGTAGGGATAATAATTTATCGTGAGGATTAAGTGATTTAACAGATACAAAGTGCTTAGAATAGTGCGTGACACGTCGTGTTTGTTATTATTTCTACTATTAGTACTATTAGTACCACCTAACTGACCTCAGTACCGCTGGTCTCTTCCCCTTCTAAAGCATTTTCCACTGTGCCACAGAGTCGGCTTCACAAATGGGTAGCTGACCACATCATTCCCTTTTAAAAGATTTCCGTGGCTTCCCATGGTCTGATCATTATAGTCCCAGCCCTGTGTTCTGTTTCTGGAGGTCAATGGTGAGGGTATGGGTATTTATTTTATTATTATTAATTATAGGTTACTTGGTACTTCCCTGGAGGTCCAGTGGTGAAGACTCCATGCTTCCACTACAGGGGCCACGGGATCGATCCCTGGTCAGGGAATGAAGATCCCACATGCCATGTGGCCAAAAAATAAAAAAATCATAGCTTACTCATGTTTAAATATTCTTTGGTTAGTAGACAAAATAAAAACAATTAAGATAGAGAAGTTAGAATTATAAGAAGATTAATTTGGAACTTCGGAGCCTGAAAAACATGAAAGGGAAAAGAATCCTTTGTGCTTCTCACTCAATCTCTAGGGGAAGATAACTCCCTCTTGCTGCAGCGTATGAGTGCAAGCGGAAAAGGGTTGTTTTGCCCATGTCTAAATGGGTGAAAGATAACTGGGGGGTAGGGGTACCAGAGGCTGCTCTATTCGTGTGGAGACAGGCATTGAGCAACTCAGCTGCTGCAACCAGAGAGACTGCCCTGTGGCCTCAGGAAAACTCCCACAAATGGGCCACGCAAAGTGGGTTTGGCGCACATCTCACATAAAACAGACCCATCCAGCCCTGCTCAAGGAGAAGCTGCTCACTGGGCTACAGTGTTTTACCGCAAGCCATGGCCCAAGAAGCAGTGGAAGATTCACAAATTCTACAGATATCTCAGGGCCACTTGCATCTGGGAAAAGAAATGGTATGTGGCACAAAGAGTATTACTAGTATGTACATCTAAAAATGTAAAATCTTAAAAAATGTGAAATCTATTGTTCATTAGTACACTGGCGACGAATGAAAGATTTTGAGCTGGGGAAGTCAATTAGCATGCAGCACAAATCTCAAAAAAAGCCAAGGGAAAGGTTGAAAGGAACAGGCTGCTCCCTGCGCTCATCAGGTGCACTGCTCTGTCATTTGATGCAGACCTCCACATCAGCACCCATGTTCAGTGAGAACATCAGGCTCAGGTTGGACATCTGGTCACACTATGTAAAAGCCACAGGCTGAACTTCACCATCAGATGAATGAGTGGTCACAGAAGATGGCTGCTTTCTGAGGCCTAGGGCCAAGATCTGCTCCACCACATCTTCAGTGGGATAATGACCCCCTCTCAGTGGCGCAACTGGCAAAGTTCTTCAGAATTGAAGGGGAGATAAAGAGTTTTTCAGACAAACAAAAACTGAAGGAGTTCATTGCCACTAGACCAGCCTTACAAGAAATGTTAAAGAGAGTTCTTTAAGCTGTTGATCAAAACACCTGAACAGAGTGAAAACTTCCTGTGCAAGAATTGTTTCTGGTGGAGGTATTGGAATGAACAGCCATCATCAAGATAGAACTCACCCACTGCAGAACCCTTAGTGCTTAGAGCCAGCTGGAGTCCATTTGGAGGCATCAGTTATGTGGCCTGTGGATTTTCCTATAGTTGCCTTCATTGGTACTACACTTCTGCCTTAGTGAACATTGATGTAGTGGCCAGGGCTGCTGGGATTTTCACAGTGCATGCTCCTTCCCAATGAGCAAATGTCTGAGAGTCATGCCAGACCTCATTTGATCCTGGCAGAAACACATCAACCACAGTAGCTTTTGGTTCTGTGACTGGATGAACCAATAAAGCACTTTCTTTTAGACAGCTCTCTGCTGAGCCTGGCTTCTTGTGTAAGATTTCCAAGATCATAAACTTCCATCTTCCTTCAAGGGCGTGCTTAAACCTCCTGTGAAAACCTGGCCCCTCCAAGTATAGTTGATCACTCCCTTACACTCACCATGATGTTGTGCAGTTGTTTCCAGGTGTCTTGTCCGCACAAAGCTGTGTGCTTCGTGATAGTGGGGACTGCAGCCTTATTTACTTCCTCTTCTTTTGAGGGCCTTGTACGGTGATTGGCTCAGAGTAGATGCTTCATAAATGTGAATTAGTAATCAGGGTTCAGGAGTTTACTAAGATTTCTGTACTTCTTTCTTCAATTTCTCCAGGCTGCAGGAATTGGTCGATCGAGTACTGGAACGTTTTCAGGCATCTGGACTAATAGTGAAAGAGTGGAATAGTGTGAAACTCCATGCTACAGTCATGAATACTCTATTCAGGAAAGACCCCAATGGTAAGTGCTTCATAGAACCACAGCACAGTTTGTGATCAGCAGGGCCTAATGATGTCCCTGGGGTTTGAAGAGAATGGGTTATCAGAGAATCTCTGCTGGGCTTCCCTGGTGGCGCAGTGGTTGAGAGTCCACCTGCCGATGCAGGGGACACGGGTTCGTGCCCCAGTCCGGGAAGATCCCACATGCCGCGTTGCGGCTAGGCCCGTGAGCCATGGCCGCTGAGCCTGCGCGTCCGGAGCCTGTGCCCTGCAATGGGAGAGGGAGAGGCCACAACAGTGAGAGGCCCGTGTACCGCAAAAAAAAAAAAAAAAAGAATCTCTGCTACATCTTCTGTTTTAGATCCATTAACTTGTTTTGATGAGCACAGTGGAAGGGGTCAGGGACATATCTATCATGGGACTGTAGCATTCCAAATCTTTTATTTCTGTCACACATAGGGTTGCCAGATATAGCAAATAAAAATACAGGATGTCCAAGTAAATTTCAGGTGAATTGAAATGAATAATTGTTTTAGTGTAGGTATGTCCCATGAAATACATGGCAGCTTTTTCTTTTTTTTATAAAACAAGAAAGAAGATTAACTAGTAAAGGTAAATGTTAGAGCAGTGATTCTCAACTAGAGGCAGTTTTACCCCCAGAGGACATTTGGATTGTCTGAAGACATTTTTGGTTGTCACAGTTAGGGGGCTGGGAGTGAGTTGCTACTGGCATCTAATGGGTAGAGGTCAGGGGTGCTGCTTAACCCTCTACAATGCACAGGACAACCCTTCATAACAAAGAATTATTCAGCCCCAAATGTCAGTAGCACCAAGGTTGAAAAACCTTGTGTTAGAGATGTTTTTTTCCCTCATGAATCTAAACCTTCATATAAAAATGTCTGTTTTAACCCTTTATTTGAGATAATAATCTACATTTTAATAAGGATTATTTTTCTTCCCATCCTCACCCACCAAGTCAAAGCTGTCTAGCACACATTCAGCATCTATCTGATCAGGAGCTACAAATTCAAGTTATGTGCAGCTTCTTCTTCAAAGCCCTGTTGTTTAAAATATACCAGCACCAAAACTCCATATTCAGGTTTCATTACATTTGTTAGGACCCTGACCTTGGTTTTAGAAAGTCTACGTTGGAAGAGGACGACATCAGGACTCCATCAGAACCCATGAACTATTTATAGATTTATAGTTTAGGACAGTTTTTGTGTCCCTTTTTACCAAAGTACATCTTTTAATTTCTTCAGATATATACCAGAGAACTCAACTGTAAGTTGTTTGGTTTGGTTAGCGCCATTGTTGGACTAAGAGATATGTAGCTAATCCAATTCTTAGTTCTAGTGTTAACTGTTTTATGATGCTACATTGTATTTTCTTTAAGACTTTTCTAAATAAATCAGTGTTTTACCTTTCAGAGCACTGAGATCAGAAAACATTCAAATGACTCAGTCAAAGCCTGTGGACTCTGGGTAGTTAGTAGAATCCGAAGCTCTCTACTTATTCTTGTTCTAATGGAATATGTTTCTTTCATTTGGATAGTGGTATTGCAGAAGAACATTTGGAATTCCAGAAAAATAATTTTTTCTGGAATATTTGATATAAATTATAATGTAAGTTATCTAATGGGAACATTTAAAGGAGTTTGTGGTATTTATTTTGTTCTGGACAGTTTTTAAAATTTATTTTAATTAATTTATTTTTGGCTGCGTTTGGTCTTCGTTGCTGCGCGCAGGCTTTCTCTAGTTGTGCCGAGCGGGGGCTACTCTTCGTTGCAGTGCATGGGCTCTAGGCACACGGGCTTCAGTAGTCGTGGCACGCGGGCTCAGTGGTTGTGGCACACGGGCTTAGTTGCTCCACAGCATGTGGGGTCTTCCCGGACCAGGACTCGAACCCGTGTCCCCTGCATTGGCAGGTAGATTCTTAACCACTGCACCACCAGGGAAGCCCTGGACAGTCAGTTTTAATCTTGGAAAACACTGTTAGATCCCCTGAGGTGGTGTACATTTTAACATCATCACGTAAAGACAGAGGTTCAGAACTCTAAAGTACACTCTAGGGACTTCCCTGGTGGTCCAGCGGTTAAGACTCTGTGCTCTCAATGCAGGGGGCCCGGGTTCGATCCCTGGTCAGGGAACTAGATCCTTCATGTATGCCGCAACTAAGATCCTGTGTGCTGCAACTAAGACCCGGCACAGCCAAGTTAATTAATTAATTAATTAATTAATTAAAAATAAGGTACACTCTAATTCAGGAGTCCCCAACCCCCAGGGCTCAAAGCAGGAGGTGAGTGGCGGGCAAGCAAGGGAAGCTTCATCTGCCGCTCCCCATTGGTCTCATTACTGCCTGAACCATTCCCTCCACCCTGGTCTGTGGAAAAATTGTCTTCCATGAAACCAGTCCCTGGTGCCAGAGAGGTTGGGGACTGCTGCTCTAATTCATTGGTTCAGAAGTTACATTGTATCTAGCACCATCCAATAGGACTTTCTAGGATGATAGAAATATTCCATATCTGTGAAATTCAGTATGGTAGCCACTATCCACATGTGGTTATTGAGTGCTTGAAGATGGCTGGCTAGTGAGACTGAGAAAGTGAACTTTTAATTAATTTAAATTTAAATAAGTACTTCCCTGGAGGTTCAGTGGTTAAGACTTCGAGCTCACAATGCAGGGGGCACAGGTTTGATCCCTCGTCAGGGAACTAAGATACTGTATGCAGCATGGCATGGCCAAAAAAAAAAAAAGAAATTTAAATAATCACATGTGGCTAGTCGCTACTGTTTTGGACAGTGCAGTATTTTATTAGACATGTGATACTATCAGTAATATATTCTGCATCTGTCCTAGTCCTTAAATCTTAGTTCAGAGCTCTTACAGCTATACCATACCCCATTATTAACTAACCTCTTAACATAAAAGAGTTGAATTATATAGGAATCTGTATCTTTTAAATTGTGTGGATCCAGATGTATATTCAGTTGGCACCAAAGCTTCATGAAAGAAAATGTTCTGTGTTCACAGTCTAGTTATCCTTTCCTGTTGACATATATTTTAAATATAACAGCTTTAGTGAGATGTAATTCATACACCATATAATTCACCTATTTAAAGTATAGTGAGTAATGTAACCATTACCACAGTAAATTTTAGAACATTTTCATCACCCCAAAAAGAAACTCCATAGTTATTGGCAGTGACTCCCCATTTTCCCCTTACTCTTCAGTCCTAGGCACCACCAGTCTAATTTTTGTCCAATGAATTTGCCTTTTTTGCATATTTCATATAAATAGAATCATGCAATGTGTGATCTTCTGTGACTGACTTCTTTCACTTAGCATAATGTTTATAAGGTTCATCCATGTTATAGCATGTATCAAATGTCATTCCTTTTTATTACCAAATAATAATCCATTGTATGGACATAACACATTTTATTTATCCATTCATCAGTTGATGGACATTTCTGTTGTTTCCACTTTTTGGCTATTATGAATAATGCTGCTGTGAACATTTATGTATGTGTTTTTGTGTGGTCATATGTTTTCATTTCTATTAGGTATGTACTTAAGTGTGAAATTGATGCATCATGATATCAGTATGTTTAACTTTTTGAGGAACTGCCAGACTATTTTCCAGAGTGGCTGCACCATTTTACATTCCCACAAGCAGTACAGTGGTTCCCCCTTATCCGCAGGAGATACATTCCAAGATCCCCAGTGGATGCCTGAAACTACATACCACATTCTGTATTTTTCCTATGCATACATACCTATGATAAAGTTTAATTTATAAATTAGGTGCAGTCAGAGATTAACAACTAATAATAAAATAGAAGAATTAAACGACATACTGTAATAAAAAGTATGTGAGTGCTGTCTCTCTCAAAATTTTTTATTGTACAAATTTAGTGCCTTTTCCATTTTCACTAAGCACTTACCATGCACTGTGACCGTAACTTTTGCAGTTTTTGAGGTGTGACAGCAAAACTAGTACGATTCTCTTTTTCCTTCTTCCTAATTTCACGGATAGAAGTTTTTTCTTAATGTAGATATTAGCAAACCTCAGCATATGATCTTTTTCTTTCCTTATTAAGTCAAGAACTTTCACTGTTTCACTTAAAGGAAGCGCTTTATGGCTTTTCTTTGGCATATCCGAATTGCTGGCATCACTATTCTTGCCTTTGGGGCCATTATTAAGTAAAATAAGGGTGGCTGGAATACAAGCACTGCAATACCTTGACAGTCAATCTGATAACAGAGAGGGTGGAATACGCTGGACAAAGGGATGACACTTTATGGGTGGGACAGATCACGCTACTCAGAATGGTGCACAGTTCAAAACTTAGGAATTGTTTATTTCTGGAATTTTCTATTTAATATTTTCGGACCTCGGTTGACCGTGGATAACTGAAACCATGGAAAGCAAAACCATGAATAAGGGGGGACGACAGTATATGAGCGTCTCAGTTTCTCTACATCTTTATCTGCACTTGTTATTACTTTTTTATTATTGCCATCATTTGGGGTGTGAAGTGGTATCTCATTGTGACTTTGATTTACATTCCCCTTATGGCTAGTGCTACTTATAGATTTTGCACCTGTCATTAAACATTTTAATCTTCAGATTTCATTACTGCTTTTTTATTGACATTTACTTAGTATGAATTTACTTTAAATTTTCACATCTCCTTTTAACAAGGAACCTATTTTTAAGTTGTGAAATATGCATGGGATTGGGATCTTGGATTACGAGAATAGTTCTCATTAGAAAAATAGTCCTGTAGTTACCCAGGTATAATTCCAGTGGGCTAGCTAAAATATATTATGTTCATGGAGTTAGCACTTTGGATGTATTTTATCAGTTCTGACGTGGTAATCTCCATACTTATATGCAATAAAAGAATATACTCAAAAGTAGAAATACAAATATTTTTGAGTGTCTGTTGATGGGCAGGAAAGGGTTGATATTTCAGAAAATATTCTGATAGTTAAATAATTTTTGAAGATGCTTTGAATTTTATATACCCTGGATTCTTCTCTGTCTTGTGTTTTTCTTTGAAAAGGCTATAGAATACATTGTTTTGCTTTTACTTGCCAGTTATCCCTTTCCTTTGATATCCTTTTTTCTGATGCATTTGAAGGACATCTTTTGGGATAAGCAAGCTAAATTAATGCAAGGAGTTAGAATACAGCTTTGATGAGGCTAAGGTCATAGATTTGCAGATTTCTGTGTAGAATGTCAGGATATCTTTGATTGCAACTGAAGAGGTTTTTCTCATTGGGGGGAGTCCTTAAATCAACCCAAAGCATAGTTGCCAGCATTTTTGACTAGTTAATGTGTGAACTTCTGTATATTTTTATGTATTTAGAAATGCATGCAGCTTATATAAAATCTTGGGGTTTTAGACTACAAGGAACCTTTGGAAATCACCTTGTCTTAACCTCTAACTTTGTAAATGAGGAACTGAGGTCCATAGAGGAGACATAAACTGCCTAAGAATATGGTTAGTTATGTAGTTTATATACAGTGAGTACTTGGACAGTGTTCAATGAATAAATATGTATCAGTTGATGACAGAGCTGAGACTAGATGCTGGGTCTCTTGACTCATAGCCTGATGTATTTCCCTCCATATTATGTCACTTTCCAAGTAGTACATGAAGATCTTGCTAGTTGTCCCTGTAGAAGTCCAAGAGAAAACAGATACATAACCCAAGCTTCTCTTCTAACATTGTCTTTGGAATATTTACAGCTGAAGGCAGGTACAACCTCTACACAACAGATGGCAAATATATCTTCAAGGAAAGAGAATCATTTGATGGCCGAAACATTTTGAAGGTCAGTATGAAGCAGAGTGAATTGGAAACCTTTGGCATGTGTCCTAAAATAAGGGAGGACAATAAGTGGTTCTCCTTTTAACAGTAAAGTATATTTTTCTCATATTTCCCACGAGGATTATTGATTGAAAGGACTGTTAAAATTGTTTTTCATTGTCCTAAAAGAGAAATCTTTTTTGACTTGTTAAAAGGCTGTTGGTATCTCTTAGAGTACTTGAAACTGATGATTTAAGAAACAAGTATAGTGACTATTTGGATCCATAGGAATAAGTTGATTTTAACCTTGTGAGTCTTGCTCTGTATTTTACCTCTGGAGGACTGAGTGTGCATTTTTTTAAGTGAAAAAGAATAGTTTGTCTTGTTCTAGTAGATTTTTCTCTTCACCCACAAAGTCGCTCTCCAAAGTTCCTGTATAATCTATTTTTACTCAGGAACAGCCCATGTACTAAAAGCTCGGTGGTCCATTTCTGACTGTTGAGGATTTGCTTCTGAGTGTTAAATTAACCTATGAAATTCAAATAAAAGGGGCTCTTTAGGATTGCATTTATCTTTCTACAGATCACATTCTGTAACATCCACAGTTTATGCCCTCTCTATCAGGTTAACATACCATTGTGCCTCTGTGCAAAGAGAAACATAAGTTGATACCAAAGGAGAGGTTTTTGATTCTTCATTTTACTTGTTCTATAATGATGTAGGTCATACATTTTCAAGGCCATGGGTGTTTTTTGGAGCTGGGAGGGAGAGTATGTATATAATAACTTCAGAATAAGCTCTAGCTTTAAAAATGTTTTTTCTTTTTCCTTCCTTCCTCCATTCCCTTATCTTATCACTTGACAGTTTTGTTGCCAAATGCCTAATATGACCTCATTGCGTATAATTAATGACATCACTCTTCAGCAGCTGCAAGCTCCTCACTGCAGAGCCCAACAGAGCAATGACAGCATTCACTTAGGCAGGCATTCC